TAATATTTATAGAGGTTAGGCATAACCATTTGACCTACTCCTCTCCCCAAAAAATTTCTTTTTTAGAGTTCTACTAAAATAATGTCTTGATATTTTAAGGATAACACCCACAAACCTTATCACAATAGATGCTAGATTTTATATAGGTTGATCCCTCAAATCAAATGGAGATTTTAACGGCTAAGATCACAAACCAAATAGAGATTTTACCATCTAATCTCCTGAACCAAACCTAGATTTTACCAGGACAATATTAAGAACCTAAGATATCAAACCAGAAAAACACACTCTTGATGAAGAACAACACTTAAGCATGAAAACCACTACAACTAAAAACTTTTTGAAGTATTTCTCACTCACGGGGAACTAAGGAAACTTTACTGAAAGAATATAAAAAGGACAGAAGAGATAAAATAATAAAAGGATACTAGAAATTCTAATTGTGGTGTGATTTGAAGAAAGGAGAAACATCCTTGATACAGGAAAAAATATATCTCAAAAAGGAAAATGATTAATGGGCTTTTTAATGCTTATAATCGATTATAAGCTAGGACGAATAGATTATGTATACCAAATATGGAAGGTTTTAAAATTCATTGTCTCTAATCAATTAGAATCCCTCTTAAAAGATTAGAAGGAGTTACAAAATAGATAATTGATTAACCTTAGTGTGATAATTGATTATCTAGTGTAAAAAATCTCCTAAAGGTTTATTCGAGCTAGTAACTAACTAGTTACTTGCATAAAACATTTTCCTACAATTTTATAAAAGCATAGAGCTTTAAAAAACATTTGTGTATGTGTGTCTGAGAGAGAGAGAGAGAGAGAGAGAGAGTTGCCTTGGTATCTTAGGAGATACTCTTATAATGTTATGATAAATTGATTACTCAAACACATGATCAGGAGAGCTTCAACACTTCCTCTATTTCACAATGTTGAAGCTTCAAGATACCTCACTAGATTCACCATTGATTCAATACTTCATCTAGAACTTGAATTCCTCTATCTGATGAGGCTTGATATAAATTTTTGATTGATGTCATCACCAAAGGTTGCTTGATCATAGATCTTTAAGGACTCCAAAGAATATCTCTTGACATTAAGTGTTATCATCATCAAAAACACCAAGGGTCATATGTCAATGAGATCATATTTAGATGAATTTACCTGCAAGAACATAGCTCCACACGAGATAAAAGTGGAAGTATGAGGTACATATGTTGTATTAAAATGCTAGATATTCAAAAAGAGACTAGGGTTTAAATGTATTTTTCGAGAAAAACTAAAGGTTGAATGAGCTTAAAACTTAAGTGACTTGATGAACATGACCCATCCCTATATGAATCATGAAGAATTTCTATCATCTCAAGAAGAGAACTTGGGCACGAGAAACCCTTAATATAACCAAGGGCTAGAAAAAGATAATAACTGTTATAGATATGATCCTGAGAGCGAGAACCACGTGCCCAATTTTTTGCATACATTCCTTTAAACACATTGAGGAAGAAAATCTTGCGAAAATGTGAAAACATAGAGTTCAAAGAAGTCAGGACCAAGAACCCCAATCTGATTAGAGAGTGAGCAGGGACAAATAAGTTGAAATAATATCGGTTCTATATTAGTCACAACCACAACACTAATGAATGCATCAACCTGCATGATGAAATTGAAGAACTTATCAAAAGGGACGACTCACCGGTTATACCTTAGAAAGAGACCGAATAGATGACCAAGACCGAGAGAAAGATCGTATGGGAAGGGATGTGTCACAAAGAAGAAAGATTCTTCTCACTCATAGAAGGTGTCCCCTAAGAAAACTATAGAGGTTGTAAGTAAAGCCAAATGAAAGAAATATAGGAGTAGCGTGGAAGAGGAAGATAAAAAGTGGAAACAACAATATATCACTTACATTACTAGAGGCCTTCCCATGGGAAAAAAACTTCCAATGGGACTATGAAGAGAAGGATCACCCAGTTAATGGAAATCAACAGAAAGAAAGGAATAAATCGTGATGGGAAGCCGAAAATGCCTATCCTCAGATTTTGGGATAGTGAAAAGGTATGCGGTATCCCAAATGAGATTTCCCCATTGGTGATAACGGAAACCATGGGAAACTTTGATGTATCCAAGATCCTTATTGATGGGATGAGCTTTTTGAATACATAGACTAAGAAAGAAGGAATTACGGGGATCCTCATTATTGGACAGAGCTTTTTTAAAAACATGAACTAAGAAGGGAGAAGTTGTAGTCGTATGAGTGATCCAATCTACAGGTATTTATGGCATATAACACGCTCATGGGGTATATTGAGCTAATGGTTACCTTGGGAGAAGGGAAAGACACCATGAAGGTCGACCTACAATTTTTAGTAATCCCCTGTCAGAGTGTCTGCAACTCCATCTTGGGCAAACCCTTTTTCAAAAATGATGGACGCGGTGACCTCCTAGTTCCACCTCAAATTCAAGTATCACAATTTTCACTACGAATTGGTGACGATATGTGTCAACCCGTTAAGAGCAAGAAGGATACATAATGCTTTATAGCGCGACCATAAGGGAAACAAAGAGAGGGCGATGGAAATCAGTGTAGCCTCCATCACCATGAATTTAAAAGAAATGGAAATCAACCCCCCTAAAAGAAAGGATTAGAGATCCCAACACATATAACATGAATAATATTGACTTGAAAGATCCAGGGGACGACCCCGAATAAATATTGAGGGCAGTTGTGGAACAGCATACCAATACACCCAGAGGATAATAAACAACGATCACCCCATTTGGTTAAATTTTACTTTTATTGCATGTGTAAATCATACCTTTCATCATAATGTAATACTTTTTTTCTCATAAGGAATTAATAAAGTTTCACTAAATTCTCTTTCTATGACCATAAAGAATACCTAAGAATCAGGGATATTGTCGCAATCGCCATAGGTGTATGACTAAAGCAATCAAAATCTTTAAAAAAAAAAATGAATCAAGGGTGTTGTCATAAACACTACAAGTGTTCGAATAAAGCAATCAAAATCTCATGACATATAAATTAGTCGTGTTGTCACAAACATTGCAGGAACACGACTAAAGCAATTAACTTTTATTTGTTTTAAAATTTTCTATATTAATTTTATTTGTAAATAATAAATATAAATGTTTAAATATAGTTAAATATTTTTTTTAAGAAAAAGATATATGCAATATAGAAATGTGAATTAATGTGGTGGTGGAAGTGGTGGGACTTCTCCATCTAAATAGGATCTCCATTGATATGGATAGGGTTTGGTTAAAGAAAGCACATGCACCCAACCTTCTTTGAAAAAAATATCTTTTACCTATATAATAAGATGCAGAAAGATCCATCATAAATCATCATAGATCTATTTATGAATGGTAAATATTTAGTGCTGTCAACAATCTTGCTCCTAAAATCATCATCACTTCTTCACTTAATTAATTAACTATAAGAAAACATTGCACTTTTACCATTTCAAATTGTAGCTCCACTATAACATTGGTCAATATTTTTCCAACTAGTTTTAAAATTATTAATTTGAAGCACTATAGAAAACGCAAGTGGTGACAAAAAAAATTAAAAATATCTATGTTCTTTTCATTGACTTATTTGAATTGGCATATGTTTTGTTATCATGTATTATTTTGAGTGAGAATTAGGTAATACACTTTAGGTGAAAATATGACGGGTCAAGACTTTGTCAAGTTTAAGTATTATTTATTAAAAATTTTGAAATTCAAATTTGATCTATAACATGTAAAAAAACTTGTTTTTAATTTGACTCTAAATCTGAAACAAGATCATAAATTTCTATTAATTGGTCTATCTATTCAAGCCACTCATTACAATGTAACATGCATGTTTAAAGTTGAGAACAAATTGAATTGCTATTGCTATTGCAAGTGATCTAATTTTGAATAGGTGGTTATACACATTATAAGGCTCGAATGATTTTGGTTTGGTGCAAAAGATAAGATGTGAAAGGGTTTTTATTGGATAAAATCCCTGACCAATAAAGTTTATAAATAGTACTAGTATGTTGAAATAATTGTGAAGTAAAGGTTATTGTTTCACTTTCAATTTAAATGGACCCCTACACTATTGTTCCCCAAAGTTTAAGAATCCCATGTTCTTATACTTTCTATCCAACCGTCACTACTTTCAATCTATCTTATCTTTTTGCATAAATCGCGTTTATTTTCGGGATTTAACACGTGTCAAATTTTACATTAGGATAAATACATAACGCCAGCCTAATTAATTAGGATGTTGTAATAATGATATTATTATTATTATTATCATGTACTCCCTCTAATCAATGTTAAATTATCTCTTTTTTTTTTTAATTAGTAAAACAACACATTCAATTATTCGCATTAAATAGTATTATAATAAATAAAAATGTATTGGAATAATCTTATTTAATAATTTATAGCAATTTTTTATACCAGTGATTAAAATTTAAAATATAATTTTGATTTATACACTATTAAAAATATAATATTTAAGAAAAGGTTTTTCTATCAGATATAAAAATATATGATGTGAAAAATATTTGTCAAAAGATTTTATATCATATCTTTATTTTCAATGATATAAAAAATATTTGGTTTAGGAAAAAATATAACACCGTAGCAGTTTAATAAATGAAATACAATTTTATTATAAGATATTTCATATTTCGTCTAGATTTTTCCCGGTGTGAAAAGTCCAATTATTAAAAAAAAAAAATAGTAGTTTGGTAAATAAAAGAATTTTGTTATAAAAGGCCTTTACATCGGGCCAATTGTTCCACCGACGTAAAAAATATTTAAAATGACTTTTACATCGGGCCTTAGTTACAACCGATGTAAAATAGCTTAGCCTTTACATCGGGCCCTAGGCCCAAACCGATGTAAAAACAACGTCTTTTATTTAAAAACCTTAACATTCCTATTTGTGCCGCATTCGTAAACGTTCATCTTTCTCACATTCATCTCTCCCACTGCTATTCCATTCTTGCTGCATTTCCACTCCCTCTTCTCACAAACCGCAGACACTCTCCGCAGCTTCCGAACCACCCTTCACCGATACCGCAAACACCATTCTCCGAATCACCTTCTTCGATACCGCAGACACCCTCCGCAACTTTCGAACCACCCTTCGTCGGTATCGCAGAGGCCCTCCGCCGAATCACCTTAAAGTTTTTTCAATATAAGGTTTTTGGGGTTGTTATAAGAAAAAAGGTGAATCGATGTAAAGGAAAGGAGGTTGCTCTAAAGATAGGGAAACAAAAAACTCATAAGAAAAAGTGATTCCTCATCTCTCGATACTTCCACCCTCTAGTGATCCTTGTTCATCTTCCTCATCTCACCATCTACTACCACCTCTCTACCTTCGTCATCCCTCAGTCGGTCGAATTTCCACATCAATCCCACCTTCACTACAACATTTAGCCTCTCCAACAACAATTGAAAAGCGTTGCCAGAACTCTGAAAATCGTTGCCTAAAGTATTTTAGGCGACGATTATCAAGGGTTGCAAACATATTTTTGACAACAATCGTAATTCGTTGCCTATATGAATTTAAGGCAACAATTTCTACATGTTACCTAAAAAAGTGTTGCCATAGACAACAAATGTTGTAGTGCTTCCAATACAACTTTCGCCGATCTTATACCCCCTTACGCGTAATCTCCAAACTTCATCTGAAGATTCCTCAAGCTGCTACAACTTCCTCCTCCTTTCAAGCTCTCTACGCGACTAACCACCTCCCTTCCATTCATTCACCCATCACCACTGTGAGACATCAACGCCCACCGAACCTTCATCATCTATGCCAAACACCATCTTCATAACCACTTGGCCTTCAACGTTTTGCTACCATATACTCTCACCTTCAATGTTTTCACTCCGTTGAATCATCAATACCACTGACTACATACTCCTTCCGAACTCGGCCTCAAACGCCCTCAGACACCTTTTGGTATCTTCTCCACCGCTCAACTGTAACCATCATCATCTTTAACTCAACCTATTCCTTATGTCTCTCACTGTTCACCATCATTGAATTTCACTAGCAACGCCTTTTTCCCAACCGACACTCACATCCTCTTCGTAGACAACACAGAAGCAGCCCAGCGCTCGCTTCCTCTGTTCATAGCAGAACGATACTTGTCATCCTCTCATCAACTCGCGACACCACCAGCTTCGACATCAATGTTTCTTCGCCACAGTTCGGTAAAATTCTGATACCCTTTTATTTATTTGTATAATTGTCATAATGTGATCTATTTTGAGCTATATTAGATGTGTTGCAAAATTTGTGAAGAATCAGTTGATAGGTTGTATTTTTTAGTAGAGACATTTATGATGTTTGAGTTTGTGATGAACTCCCGAAGAAAATGTTGTTGTCTTTGTTGTTATTTGACTTTATTTTGAATTTGAATAATGATTTTAGATTAATATCGATTGGTCTTTAATGACGTGTCATGTTTTTGAATCAATTTGGAATAGATTCTGATAGCGTGTTGTTTTCAATTTGAATGAGATTATAAAGTACGAACATTCTTAGAGTTTGAACGATGAAGAAAAGTACAAACATATTATTAGAGTTTATAAATTAGTGTATTCTATTTAACTACATATTATTAGAGTTTATAAGTATGTTATTGAACTACATATCATCAGAGTTTAACAAGTAAAAAATGTTAAAAATTTATGAATTATTAAAAAAGTATATTAAAAATAAACATTTCTAATGATTTAACTCTGTACGCATTAATTTCGGAATATAAGTATGGATCATAGTTGGATGAGAGCTAATCAATTAAGTGTTGAGTACGAAAACAGGTAAGTTACGTGACGAAAATAAAGTGTGTCACTTACTACCATCAGTTCATAGGTTAGTTCTTATAAAAATGTGTTTTCTATTTTTTAATTTTGATAACATAGATGTTTTATGTGACTTTTGTGTTTACACACACGTACAGATCTCATTAGCAAATAATAGTCATTTGTCCAAGAGACAATGTTGTGGTCGTCTTTTGTTCATTTCATCGGGAAATTGATTAAATCACGAAAAAAGTTGTTACAAAGTAAGTTTGTCTTTTATGTGACTTTTGTTATAATATATTATATATCCTATATACATAAATTGTTACAAAAGTAATTTCATATTTTATGTGGCTTTATTTGAATTTTTTTTCTTCAGAATTAGTGCTTTTGGGATTCATCAAATGGCAAATGGAAATAGAAAAAAGGCTACATGATTTCATCCCAATGTAAGCGTGATGTAAATTATAATTCTATATTTAATTTAATAATAAGTATTCACTAATTATGTCATTCATTTGTACACAAGACTACAATATAACTCTAATAATTATGGATACTATGTGATGAAAAATATGTTGTATATTGTCTCTGCCAATATAACCGAGTCTTGGATGCAGGTAAGAAAAATAACTCTGTTATTTACTTTGCATTTTGCAACTTAATGTGAATTTTCAAATAATAACTCTATATTGTTATTTACGTGTTGTAGGTATTTGATGATCCAACAGAATTAACACAAGATGATTTGTATGATTTGCGACTCTGTTGGACAAAATGTTTCTTTGAGTTATATAAAAATTAAGACTTATCTGGTGAGTTATATAGAATTGAATATATATATATATATATATATATATATATATATATATATATATATATATATATATATATATATATATATATATATATATATATATATATATATATATATATATATGATTTGAGTTTCTTAATTTTGGTGTTGTCTTCTGATGTTAATTGGTGTTTTTCTACTGAAGCTACAACTCATGTTCTTGTGGATTGCATGTTGGTATTTCAAGTGTGGGAAAAGACTTATAAATGGTTGGATATTTTTGTATAATTTCATTGGTTTTGTTGTGGTTGTAGTCCACCGTGTATAAACTTCCTTATAAATTTGTACACTTGTGTGTATCCGAGATTAACACTTTTATAAATCAATGTGCATCGTAGCTAATAGGTGCAATGAAATTACCCTCACTGGTTAGAAAAATATAAAAATAGCGACCTAAATATGGTAATGTGTGATGTGGAAAAATATGAAAAATAACGATCTAAATGTGGTCTGTGTGATGTTGGAAAAATATGAAAAATTAGGTACCAAAAAAAAATTATAGGGAATCCACTTCGTTTCCGCTAAAAAATAGCAAACATATTACATCAGGCCATTGAAGCAACCGGTGTAAAAACCCATATATTACATCGGTTCGTTGAGGCAACCGATGTAAAATTCTAATATATTACATCGGGTCATTATGTAACCGATGTTAAATATTGCATATATATATATATATATATATATATATATATATATATATATATATATATATATATATATATATATATATATATATATATATATATATATTTTTTAAAATTGTATTTTTTTTCACATCAGACATATCATTCAACTGATGTGGTATGTGGATTTTTTACATCGGGCTATTGCCCGATGTAAGATGTCTTTGATTTACTACATCGCTTGGATTTACATCGAACCTAGACCCGATGTAAAATGTACTTTTCGTCCGATATAAAAAGTTTTTTTGACACATAATAGCAATTGAAACGAATAAATTATTGTGCAGATTGCAGAAGGAGATGAAATAGCGATAAGCACAATTAAAGAATACTAACATTCATCTACCCCTTCTACCTTCCTTCCATGACCACTTCAATTGTAACAAAGGCTTTCATGAACATTTCATCTATTCCATTCTCACTACAAAAAAAATTGCAATTTGCCAGGGGATAAGTCCCTCACATGTGGCGAAAACCCCACACAAATATAAAATTTGCGAGGGGATTGCTCCCCTAGAAAAACAGGGAGTCGCAAATTATTTTGCGAGAGACTTTCCACGTTACCTATTTTCCAGGGGCTAACCCCCTCGCAAAATGAAATCATAATTTTCAAGTCTGCAACATACAGACGTAGGCGCAGGCTATTAGTGCAGTTAATGGTTCAGTGTGTCAGAAATTTTGCTTGGGGATAAGCCCATAGCAAAATGTATACCTTTTCCATTTGCTTGGGGTTAAGCCCCTGACAAAATATATACGTTTTCCATTTTCTTGGGGTTAAGCCCCTAATAAAATGTATAATTAATATAAAAAAATAAATATAATTAATAGAATAAATATAGATATAATATAATTAAATTTTCAAACATAATTAATATAATCAATATAAAAATACTACACATATTATTTTTAATATTTATATTTTAAAAATCCTAAAATCCTAAATATAAAAATCATAAACATACTGCTTTTAAA